AATGTATTGATGATTTCTGAGAATCCAATTTCTTTTCAATGTGATGGACGGTGAGGAATTTGGTTCAACAGATAAAGCTCCATGATCAGATACGTTGCTTTATCAAGCATTCCCTACTTTGAGTAATTATATTCTTTGCACATCAGGATAAAGACAGAATTACACAGCTCTGTAAATCAAATGGAGGCTTGAAATTCTGGAGTCAGAACAGAAGGGTTTGTAAAACAAAACAGGAGATGGGACAGGGCTGATTTCTATGACTATTGAGGAAAAAAGATCCTATTAGTTGCACTTTGTGGACTCTTGTAGAGATAAACTGAATCTAGAGACATACGTCTACAAATCAGACAAATTCAGGCATTCTTTGACAAGTTACTTGGCTTAGGCCTGGCCGGTGCAGCTGACATCATCATTGCAACCCAAATTTCAAACTAACCTGTTCTTTTCACAGCTGTCTGTGCCAGCAGTATTGCCTGGCTGTGGCTGTAGTTTGTCCCTAACACATCCTTTGCTCTGCTTAGGATCCAGCCTAGGAAACAGCCTCGAACATCACCTATGTGTTGCAGCCTAGATGCTGCTGCTGCTGCTGCTGAAAGGTACTTGTGAATACCCTCAGGTAGTCAAAACTGAAATGCAAAAAAAAAGGATCCTAGCAGGATCTCCCAAACCTCTGACTTGCCTGGTTCTGTCGAGGTTTGTGTGTTTAAAGGAGTGCATGTGCTTCATGAAAATCTGCTGCCACCCTCCGCCACAGTGAAAGCCTGAGTGTAACTGTCATTTTAATGTCAGCTGGGCAGGTTTAGTGCTTCTCTTTCTGTTCATGCTGGTGCTTTTTTTTTAATCTTAAAAAGTAGCATTTTTAACTTGAAATATAAATTTTTAAAAATGCCCCAGAGAAGAAAAGGTTGATCTGAACAATCCCAGTCACAATACTAAAACTGTCAAGGAAGGGAATTCCTTCCAGATTTATGCTGGGCTGGTGTGACTTTAGTTTGGCAGACACTCAGGCACTATCAATAAAAATCACCTTCAGTACACCATGCTCTGGTCTTCTGATCTTGGCTTGGGAGAGCCAGGGATTCAGGAACTGATTCTTGTGCTCACCTTGAACTGGTTCATTCTAAATCCACTGGTTCTTCTTTATGCTTCCCTGTAAGCCTGGAATATGATGGATTTATTAAACTGTAAACTCATTAAGATGGTTTTTTTTTCCCTAATCCTCACTCTGCACTGGGATATTTTAAAGCATAACAGCAGCAGTAACAAACCTCTGTGCGTGCTTAGAGATAACTATTTCCACTGTTTCAATCTATTTTTCCAAGGTTTGCCATCTGATGCCCTCCTAACATGAAGCCTCTCTCCGCTGGGAGAATGGGCACAACCGATCACAAGGGAAAAGTTCAGTTCAAGAACATATGTCTGAGCAAACAGGATGGATCTCCTGTCTGACAGCTGCTGCCCTCAGCCATGCTGCTTCACCCTTAATTTGATTTAAATTCCACATTTTGCACCTGTAAGAAGCCATGCAAGGCAGATCTTGAGAGGGAATTCTCCATTCAACGTTCTTGTTTAATATAATTGTATAATCTTGTTTAATATAATCACCTTTTTGGTGAGAAAAAAGGTAATGGGCGGAAAGCTGGGAAGTATCACCTTGCCAAGCACTGAAAGAGGCTGTGTGATAAGACTCTAACAATGAACAGCTTTGTCTTTTTGGTTATTCCTCCTTGACAGGTTTAATGGGGAGAAAACCATCTCTATAGCAAAGTATCTCCATTGATTTATTAAAAGATATCCAAAATGATCAAGCAGCAACTGTTCGACAATTCCTTGTCGAAGCAAAACTTCCCACAGATTTCACACTGAAAAAAAGGGATTTTGAAAGTATGGATTAAGCTCACAAATCAGATCAGAATTCCTCTTTTCAGGAGGTCCTCATGAGTCACAAAGGACATTATGTTTGGAAAGACTGAAATATGCCAAGGCACTGAGATTACCTATTTTGTAGGAGGATTTATGGACCTGAGAGTAATTTGGTGCAGGAAGAGGCCCCAGATATATATTCTGCATGTACTTCTTATCTATTAGATTCTATATCAAAGATGTACTAAAACCCCCCAGCAAAGGTTAAGGGACTGGGATTAATGGAAAAGGGACCAGAAGATATTCTTTTACAAACATTCATGAGGCATACCAAAAATTATCCAGGACTTGGACTGAAACTGTTGCTTTGTTAAGGGCACTAGCACATGGTGTTCTAAAATAATGACAGAAATAGTTGTAGCCATATTGCTTATCCCAGAAATCCAACACTTCTAGAGAGAATGCCAAATGCCAGGCAGATTTCTCAGTTGTTGCAATATCTTAAGAAATATCAGATAATTTTCTGGTTGGGGGACAGGGTTGAGCACCCTCAAGTGATACAACAGGCAGTGAGGTTCCTAAGGCTGAAAGAGCAGGAAGAAAAAGAGAGGAACAAAACGATGCATGTCTTAGCTGGAATCTGCTTAAACCCAAAAGTAAGATTTAAACTTGAACGAGAGGATTGTAAATTTTTCTGAATCTGAAAAATCTGTTCAGGAAGTGAAAAAAAAAAGGCAAAAAAAAAAAGTTAAAATTTAATGAGGGAAAAATTAAACTCTGGTCCAAATCCAGGGGGAGGCTGTATGTGGCATTATTATAGGCTCCCATATGTTTGCTAGAGGCACTGAAGTGACAAGGGAATTTAGATAGAGGGAAATATAATTATTTGTGATTGAAACAAAATAGCAGCCAGTTTATGCATATGCTCTTCCTGCTGAATTAACATTATTCTACTGAACTGAATTACTTTCAGATGCTGTTATACTTTCAGAGGTAGCCATAAGTTTTTTTCACATTTTTCATGTACTGTCATTAGAACTTAGTGATATAAAAATTGCTATCTGAGTTGACACAGTTATTCCCTCTTGGTGTCTTTAAGTAGGAGCATAATGTGACAGATTAGAGTGCTGAAGCTCAGTGTCTCACACAGACTTAAAAATAATAAAAAATTATTCCTGCGAAACTTTGAAAACTATTCAACAGAGGAACAATTTTTATACTCTGCAATTTATTTGCTTTTCTTTCTTCCTTCATTTTTCCGTGCCTAGAAACGTGTATGAAAACAGGAATTTAGTTGTTCAGGAACTCATTTCCTTCTGCTGTGCAGCCATCACAGGAAATCATAACCCTTTCCCTCAGTACCAGCTGAAGAGTAGAGAGCAGCATAGACTGGATAAAGATTAACCAGGTCTGAGATTTAGGGCTGGATTTAACTGTAAAAACATGTAGACTTGCATTTGAGATTGGCCACATCCCACTGATAGGTAATTTTGGCTCAAAATGAGGAAAGAAGTGTGAAGCCTAGGCTGTGTAAAGGCAAGTTCAGCACAACCAGGACACAGGTACAGCAGTGGTGACAGCAGGCAGAAAGAATAATTCTGGAGATTCCTGTAGTCTTGATGCAGAGAAGTCATTCCAGCAAAATATCTGTCACTCTGGAGCTCTCACAGAAAGTTATTCCTGGAAAATTTCAACAGCATCTAAGCCAGACTAGAGTCACAGACTCCTTTCCATTCCAAGAGGACAGTCTGAACCCTGCTGGAAAGGAAGATTTATATCCAGGGTTCACACTACCAAACTTTGCAAGGCTTTACACATGAGGTTTAGGGTTTAACTCATTTCAAATGTTTATTTAATGTTAGATTAACCTGCTCGGGGTATAAGCACTACATCAAGCCCAAAACAATGATACAAGTCAAGTTAACCCTTTGGGTATCAAAAGGTACACAAAGTTCAGTTTCAGAAAATTGCATCTTGCCCTTCCTGCTTTCTATTATTTGGATAATTTGCATTAATGTCTCTGCTTGTGAATGTTTGTCCCCACTACTTTATTATTCACTCAGAACAGTCGTTCTTTGCATATGATGTCATTGCTATTTGCTATTGAAATATTTTTAATGTCACAAAATGGATTAAATCTTCAAGTGATGAGTGAGCAATCGGAAAACCTGATCACCTAAACAACAGCAGTCCCGTTTCATGCCTGTGTGTCTAATTATACCCAACAAGGCAAACCCCCTTATCTCTGAGGGAATGATACATATTCTTTCTTCCCAAACCAATTTTTTTTTATGCCTTAAATGATTGGCAAAGCTGGTAGGTTCTGCATTTTGCAACCAAGCCAGGTGTGGTTATTTGTAAAACATCAACGTCAGGCTGATATTTCATATAGAAAAATCCTGTTGTGACAAGGAGGAGCTGCCTGGGGGGGATTGCAGTGCTCGGCACTTTTCCCCAGTGCAACCTTCCAGCGTGGCAGCTCCTGGGGCTGGAGGAAGACGGGCCCAAAGGGCAAACGCTGGACTGGTGAAGACTTCCCAGGCCAGGAGGGTGAGCACTGGGGTGACCGAGGCCTCAGCCCTGCTGTGACCCCACAGTGCTGCCACCCCAGCCCTGGGGACCCCAAAATCAGCAGAACATCCCTGTGGAGCCCACTGGGATGGCAGCGTTGTGCTGCCTCCACAGCTGTCCCTAGAGACCCTGAAACAGGACAGCGGTCCATGAGGCTATTCCCAGAGGTCCTTAAGGCTATTCCCAGAGGTCCATAACGCCCTTCCCAGAGGTCCATAAAGAACTTCCCAGAGGTCCATAAGGAACTCAAAGAGGTCCATAAGGCTATTCCCAGAGGTCCACAGGGCCATTCCCAGAGGTTCATAAGGAACTTCCCAGAGGTCCAGAAGACTTTTCCCAGGGGTCCATAAGGCACTTCCCCCAGAGGCCCACGAGGCTGTGCCGGGCGGTCCCGCTCTGGCCCCGTCCCTCAGCTCTGGCTCTCGGTGGCCTCCGGCCACCTGCGATCGCAGCGCACCCCCCGCAGAGAAACCGCTCCGAGTCCGAGGGGACTCCCCGAACCTCCCCCGCCCCCGGCGCGGTCCCAGCCGGCTCTTTGCCCCCTCCCGGCCGGCAGGAGCCGCTGCGGGCGCGGCGCGGCGATGAGCGAGGCGGAGGGCGGCTCGGCCGCCGCCGTGGAGAAGCCGCCGCTGCCCCCGGCCGGGCCCGGGGCGGCCGCGGCGGTCGCTGCCGCTGTTGCAGCCGCGGCGGCGGCGGCGGCGGCCGGGCCGGAGCCCGGAGCTCCGGCCGAGGAGGCGGCGGTGGTGTGGAGCCCGGAGGTGGAGGTCTGCCTGTTCCACGCCATGCTGGGCCACAAGCCCGTAGGTGAGCGCGGGCCGCGGCCTCCGGGAGCGGCGGGGGCCGGGGAGGGGAGAGCGGCGGGCGGGGGGCTCCGAGAGGCTCCCGGGGGTCCCGGGGCTGCGGCGGGGCCGGTGGGGAGGGAGGGAGGGAGGGAGCGGCGGGCCCTCCTGTCCCGCTGAGCCGCCCGGGCTGGGCCTGGACCGGCCCCCCGGTCCCTCAGGGACCTGCTGCCTCCCGCCTGCACTGAACCGCAGAGCGGGTCACACAGAAAGGGGCCGCAGCGGGCCGCTGGCTCCAGCGGGGTCGTCCCAGAGCACAGAACACAGGGTTGCGCCCAAAAATGCTCTGGGATGTCTCCAGTGAGGGAGACTCCACACCCGCTCCGTGGAGACCTGTTCCAGTGCTCACAGTGATGGAGTTCTTCCTCCTGTTCGGATGGAACTTCCTGTCCGTGCCTGCCCGTTACACCGAGCAGGGCCTGGTTCCATCTTCTTGGCACCCTGTCTTTAGATATTGATACACATTGACGAGGTCCCCTCTCAGTCGTTTCTTGTAGAGGCTGAACAGGCCCAGCTCCCTCTGCCTTTTCTCCTGAGAACGGTGCTCCAGTCCCTTAATTCCCCTCCGCTGGATGTGCTCCAGGAGCTCCGTGTCTCTCCTGTACTGAGGAGCCCAGAACTGGACACAGCACTCGGAAGACTTTCCTCCAGTTGTTTCTCACACAGCCCCTCTAAAAGCTCTGGCTGTGTGTCAGTGTTACCCACTGGAGCACCCTCAGCCCCCTCTGGAATAGCACCTGCAGTGGAGGGTGAAAGATCAGCCTGCCCAGGTGCCGCCTGTCTCTCCTGTAATGTGTGGATTCCTTGTAACAACACAACACTTTTTAATGGTGTCATAAATAAATAAGTAAATTTATGTACTGAAATCTATCTAATTGGCATAAATAAAACCGTTAGCAGTGCTAATTGCACTGAGTTCTTCCCCCCCAGGTGTGAATCGCCATTTCCACATGATTTGCATCCGAGATAAATTCAGCCAGAATATCGGACGGCAGATTTCATCCAAGGTGATTTGGGACCATCTGAGCACCATGTATGATATGCAAGCTCTTGTGAGTATAAAGGGTTGATGCAGCCACATGGTTATTTTGTAGAGTTCAGAAGTTTTGATAGACCAAAATCACTGGGTCTTTTGTACTTTTTCATCATACTGAGAATTACATGTCATTCTTTGGGTTGATGGGGTTTTCCCTGAATAAATATAGATTATGTGGGAGACAGTAAAACCTGTAGTGGCTTGTGAGGGTTTTTTGTTTGTTTTTTTTAATATGATGTTCTGACTTTGTTTATTAAAGTTACCTAAATGCTGATCCAGCAAATGTTTACATAGATATATAAATGTCAAATGAAAAAGTTACAGTGTATTTACTTAAGAAATTGCCATGTTTGGGTTCCAGAAATGATCTCAAATGTTCCTAAGTCATGACCTTGGGTATCTTGACCTTAGTAATCAGTTTGACATCAGGAGCCTCCTGGTTCTCTAACATCTGAACTGTCTTGATGAGAATTATTTGGCTACTAATTGCATGTAAAACAGAACTGGAGATTGCATTTCTAAATTTCAATTAAAGTTTTTACAAGTGACTCACAGAGACCATTCTTTTCTTTCTAAGCATGAATCCGAGATTCTTCCATTCCCTAATATAGAGAAGAATTTTGCTCTTCCTGATGAAATGATTCAAGAAGTGAGAGAAGGTAAGATGTGACAGCAGTCTCTGCTTCTTGGTTACTCTGATCTCATCCCAGAATGTTTAACAAAACTCTCCCCAAGAAAGAGTGTAAGATGTTGATCCAAGGCCTTTCTTTCAGACTGGTGTGTTTGGTGCAGTGGGAAAAAGGAGTGTTAAACAGATACAAGTTTATCTCATGAATTTTTAATCAACTGACTGAAGGAACTGTCAAGGAAAAGATCCTAGTGCTTGTGCTGTTCATATCCTTGTTATCAGCCTTTGTGATTGACCATTGCAGGAAAGAGACACCTTTGGTCAGGTTCCACACAGAATTTCTCAAATTCTTAAATATGAAGTAGATGGGATGCTAATGTAGCACAAACAGGTTCTATTTGTACTGTTTAGATCCAGCTTTGCTTCTCTGATACCAGTTTGCAGAGTGAAGGCAAAATGTGGTTCCTTTAAAGGTGATTTGTAGCTTATTGTGGGGTTTCTGCACCTTGTTGAGATGGTTGTAATATTATATCAGACCATAACTTTGGTAAAAGAGATGATCTGCACATTTTAATGTGCTTTGTTTTGTAGTATGATCATACTTTAAAGAGTAGGAGCTATAGAGCTGATAAAAATAACATTTTCTGCACTTAATTTGTATGTAATAATATTTCTGTGATAAAATTGTCTGTACCAGTGATAATATAAGGCAGTTAAATAGCAATTCACCTAATATTTTAAAATATACAGGGATATACTTAGTGGAAAGCTGCAGTTTCAGTAGCAGGAGAAGCTTGCTTTTTGGCCATGGGCTGTACCTTTTGCTGAAATAACCAGCTCATTTTTAGGCTATTATTGTTTTTTCATATGGTTCATTTGTCTTGTTTTTAAAAGCATTTCTGGTTTATAATGTCCAGTGATAGATTTTCATGAGATTTTTTTTTTTCTGAAGTTGCATTAAAATTGATTGAAAACAAAACCCATATGAAATGTTTAGAGGCTTTTTTATAGATTCACAGTGGTTTCATTGCTCTGTGAAATCATCTCTTTGTGTTTTTAACTTCTTAGTGTATAACTGTGTGAATTTATCATGAGTGAGAGAGATTTGAAAAAAACTCCCCGTATTATTTAATCTAATAGAAATATGCAGGAGTTTGACAGAAATCTCAAGTTGGGCAGTGAAAGCTGGATTTTGAAAGTTTAGCTGTTTGTTGGTGCTGTTATCCAAGGTAGGAATTGAGAAGTTCAAGCATTTGCTAGAGGAACTTTTCCAAATTATTGCTGAATGTTGCTCTGAATATGTGGTTCTTTAAACCCATCTAACCATTGCTAACAATCCTTTCTGTAGGAAAAGTAATGATGGAAGAAGAAGTGAAAGAGGAAATTTTAAAAGAAGAGCTGGAAACGCATGCAGGTCCAGAAGAAGGTAATTTTGTAACTCTCTACTGTGTAATACGAGATTAAAAACCAACTGTAACGCTGAGAAATTAATGTTAAAGTGTAAATCCCAAATACAGTGTACTTTGTGCTTTGTACTCAGACTCAGCATGTGCTCATGCCAAGAATTAGAATAATTTAAGAATGCACAGAGTAAGCAGTTGCTTATTGAAAAGATTTCTTCTTTGCTCCTAATTCATCTGTACAGGTTGTATAGCTTTGGAGATTTTTGGGTTTAATATGTACTTGACAAACCCCTGGGAGTCTGAAGGAATCTGAGGATCTCCGAGAGAAAGTTGGGTCCAGTTTTATTGAACCTAAATACTCTGTGAAAGGAACTTTGTAGTCATGGGGGAAATAGGGTGTATAAATCAAAAAAGATTGTAAAATTGTGTACTTAAATGGGAAGGCGGGCAGAGTTTACTTTATTTTATTTTATTCTCATTATCTTGCTTCTTTTAAATAAAAGGCTTGTTTTCCTAACACTTTGCTGTAGAACAAGTCAGATGTGAACAGTAGAGATCCTGCTATTTACTTTAAGAGACCAAGCCAACTGCTAACTATATAATTTCATCATATTTATATCACTGAATAAGTGGTGTTTAAAGATTGTAATAAAATATCTAAACATGTATTTAAAAATATATTAAATTTCACATTTTGGGTGTTCAGTTTTAATATCTACCTATGATACCAAATGTAATGACCGTTGCTGATTATAAATTCCATAGATTGGTCCTATGTTCTGTAAGTGTTCCTATTAAGTATTTTAATATTAAGTGCTGTTTAATTCCACTTAATGAATTCGATTTTTAGCCTGTGAAAATACATGCCTGTCTTTAAAGCAAATAATAAAAGCAAGATGTGCCTTTCTCAGAGAAGATTTTTCCTTTAGAAGTGAAAGTAATACCTAATGGTGGATAAATATGCTGAGAGTTGATTGTTTTGAGAAGTTTTATGTAATATAAAGAAAATTTGATATCACTCTTGTTTGCCTTTGTGTGTGACTCTGATCTGGAATCATTACTTTGATCCTATTTCAGTTTTTGCACCCTCTGGAACTTTAGGAAAAGCATCTGAAAAGCCAAGCAGCAAAGAGAAAGAGAAAACTTCATCAGATTCTGGATCCAAAGAAGGATCTGATAAGAGGAAGCGCAACAGAGTCACTGAGAAGGTGTTAAATGCAAACAGTAACCCTTCCAGTCCCAGCGCCGCCAAACGCCGCAGGACGTAGAGCTGTGAGAGAGGAGTGAAAAACTCTGGGATGGGAGGGGGGAACAGCAAAATCAAGTCGCAGGATAGTTGCTACATAAACTCTTTGAGGAAGGAAAAGATACCTGAGCCAGGTGTTTGAAGAATCTGCACATCGGCTTGATACGCGCAAGACTCTTGGCTGGTGTGTTCCCTGGCTGCCTTCTCAGGGCCCGGGGAGAAGGCTGGGAATGTGGAGAGTGGATGTAACAGTGCCAGTGGCTGCATTCCCAACCAGCAACACGCTCTGTGTCAGCACAGCTCATGAAACCCGTGCCCAGTGGAACACGGGGCCTTGGATCAGCAAAAGCAAAGGCGATTCCTGTAAATCTGGGATTGTGTTTTCTGCCTTTGTTGCCATCTGTGAATATCACAGACCATCTGTGGGTAATGTTTTGGCCATTTCACTTGCTGCAAACATAGCATTTGTATCAAATGTTTCAATTTGTTGGTTCAGTACAACTAAAATTCTTTTAAATGCAGATAACTACTGAGCTGAAGTGTTCTAGACAACTACTGAGTTGAAGTGTTCTGTCGCTCTGTTGGCTGGAGGAACCTCATTTGACCCTTAGAGTTGTAACATTTTTCAATCTTTCTAAGTTTATATGCCATAAGTGAAGTGAAAATTGTAATGCCCCTAGACAGAATAAGTGTCCTAAATAAAATATCTGGAGATGTCACATTGTTTTGTAAGGGATCAGTTGAGCTGTGCATGAACCTGGAGGTGTTGCTTCATCCATTTGTAATACAGTAGTATAAAACAGTGGGGTTTGTACTTAATTATTTATTTTTTTAAAGCAGTTTTAGTAGATGTAAATGGAATTGGTTTTCCAAAATGTTCATTTTGTTCTACAACCGAAGAACTTTACTGACATTGTAATGCTTATCTTTTATATGCTAGGGTATTGAGATTTGATGAAACTACTATTTTTGTGCTGTGAGAAGATGGACCACAGTCAACAAACACCTGTTACATGGTGAATGAAGCAGGTTGAAATGGTACTGAATTTGTTTCATTATATTAACTACCAGTTAATAAAAGGAGTTAATCTGTCAGTATTGCCTTCAAGGTGAGGCACTAGGAGTCTACTACTTTTTGCTTTTATTCTAGGTACGTAGCCAAGTTCTTGTCTGCCTTATTTTCTTCTCTTGTTTTATACCAAGAATAAATTCGACTTGTTTTGGTAATTGTTGTGTGACTTGATTAAAATGTGGCCCAATTTATTTTGGAACTTATTTAGGTATCTTGTGCCTTAAGTGGCATTGGTCAAAAGCGCCTACCTGGGGGTTTAGGTTTGGCTTTTTTTACTAACTTTTGTCTGGTATGAACCTGTTATTTCTATATGATATTTGATAAAAAATCCTGGCCTGCTGAACACAATAGATAGGTTGCTGCAAGCTTCCAAATTTGAGGATTTACCAGAAGGTACAATTATCATGAATTCAGTGCTTTAAGCCTTGCAGAATGTCTGGTGAGATGCCACCAACTGGAGAGCTCCTTGGAGCTCTGGTTTGTGGGAGAGGTGCTGTAGGAGCCTCAGAGTTTTTCTGGGCAGGTGGAAAATGAGCTTTTATAACCTTATGTGAGGAAGCTCCTGATTTTAATGTTGAAAAACAACTTATTCTGTCTGATCAAGTTCCTAGAGGTTGTAATCACACGGCACTTACAGATCTGTCACCCAATGAGTGCCCAAAGGTGAATGAATGCCTCTGTTAAGTATTGCTATTCCCTTAAGAAACTTTGTCATGATCTACACAGATTTTGGCCGTGAAGTGCAGATTCTGTAACTCTCAAGTCTCACGGCCCTATGGGTGTAAATCCAACTCATCCCGATGATGCCATTCCAAAATGTTTGCTCTACCAATGACGTTTTTATAGCGCAAAGAGAAATGTGTCGACAACAACGTGTACTGATGCAACCTCTCAGCGCCAGCCTCGCAGCAGGGAAAGCCCACTTGGGATTTCACGATCAGTCCCGAAACGCAGATTCTTTAGGAATATTTTGGACGTCAAGTTGGGTATTGACAAATGTAAATGCTTTAACTGACCCCAGCGCCGCGGCGCTTTGCCTCGCTCCCCATGCACCGCGTCCTGGCTCCTTGGGAATACTGCTCTTCCGCACATTTTCCAGCAGGATGACCGCCTCCCTATCCCGAGGTGCCGGCGCTCCCGGATCCCGGCGGAGGAAGGAGGGAAGCTCCCGGTGCCACGGGGAGCGGTGCGGGCGGGCGCAGGAAGGGGGCGGGGCCTGCGCGCGCTTCCGTTCCCCCCCCCCACGTGGCCGTGCTTTGTGCGCGCGGGCGGGCGGCGGCCCCGCCGCCCCTTCCCGATCCCTTTCGCTTTCCCTTTCCGTTCCCCGCCGCGCTCCATGGATTCCTTGTACTCGTACCGGTTCTGGACGGAGGAGGAGGGCAAGCCGGAGGACTACGACTCCACCTGGGAGGGAGAGGAGGAGGAGGACGAGGAGGAGGAGGAGGAGGAGGAGGATGGCGGCGGAGGCGAAGCGGAGGGAGCGGAGGCGGCAGCCGGGGAGGAGCCGCAGGATGCGGGGGAGCAGCCGGGGTCGGGCAAGGAGCGAGACTGCCGGGTGGGTGCGGGGGTCCCCGGGGCGCGGGATGGGCTGAGGGACCCCCTTCCCCTGTTCTCTCCCGGAGCACCTTCCCCTGTTCCCCCCGTGCGGAGCTGCCGCATCCCTCGGGAGTTGCCGCATCCCTCGGGGCTGTCCCAGGTGCGCTCACCTGTGTGAGTGATGTTGTTCCTGCCCTCTGTGCTCTCAGCGCGTTTGGGCTCCCCTGTCAGGTACCTGATTTACTAAGAAGAACTGGGCAGCTTGATCTACTTACTAAAAGTCAAAGGGGGTTTGCCCTGGCAAATGACAGCGATGCCTGGGCACGTAATTTGTCCCCATCCTGATGAAGCAAATCCTCCGGGAGAGGGGACAGGGATGGGGATGGCAGAGGGATGCTGTGACTTCACGGCCCCTTAAGATTAGTTAGGCTGCCATGAGCTGGGTTTTAATGTTTTCCCCCACCATTCCCTGTGGTCTGGGTACTTCATCCCATAAATAGAGGTTCTCTTTTCTGTATGTCACCTGCCTGTTCACCGCATGGATGTGACATTATGGCATTACTGTTCTCCTTGCTTTTAAGTTTTTGGTTGGTGTCTTCAGCTTTGTACGGTGGCCTTCCTTCTGCTCTTTGATGCCATTAATAAAATGCCATCACATAAAATCTGCTCAGTTTTAAAAATGAGCTGTAATTTTGGATTTCTTTTAGACATGCTTTATTTTCTAAGGAACGTGTTTAGAGCAACTCTGAAAACAACAAAATACACACTGTTTTAAAAACTAGAAGTATATGTGCAGTTATGAGTGAGGTGCTGCAAAACATGAACACCTGTGCCTGGTCCCTTAAAATAATGTTTAGTTGAAATAAAAGGAACTTGTTAGTCTTATCCGAGGTCCCTGTTTTTAGCATCAGTGTTTTTCAGTTTGACATTGAGTGTCAGTAGTTTCTTCTCCAGCATTGCTTTGGTAAATGCAAACCTGTTTCTGAATTTTCAGTATTTCCTGTCAGTCCAAACTACAGTCCTTTAACTCCTCCCCTTTTGGGGAAAAGGAAACTAATTCTTCACTTGAGTTTCATTTTAAGCAACTCTTCCCTTCTCTTAGAATATAAATAGGCAGATAAAGCTATCCAATGAATACACTTTTAAAGGAGTTTAATATTAAACTTTATTTTTTTAATAAGCATTAAGATATTAAAATACCACTTTAAAAAAAATTCTCTGTGCACATGGAAAGGTGTTTTGGGTGGAGTAGTTGTAATACTGAATGGAGGAGGCAGGGTTTTCCTTTGAAGTGTTTTATATTGTTGGAGAGCATGCTATCAACTTTTTTTTGTGCATGGCTGGAGTTCACAAGTTTTAATAACTCCAAAACATTCGAATTATTCTGTTTGCGTGTGTTTGTTCTTCAGGTGTTTTTTTTTTTCTTAGAGCAGCTCTGGACTGTGACAACTGTAAAGGCAAGGACCATTTTTTCACTCCAGTGGGTGGACTTTTCCAGCTTTGCCTTACAAAGGAGGATGTTGTCCCTGAGACTTATGGCCCCTGGAATACTGTTCTGCATTTTTCAAGAGGAGCTCTTCCTTCAGTGATGAATGTGTAGTCACCTCTGTCTGACAGTGCCTTGAAAAATTATAAGGGCAGTGAGAATGAATGTTCAAAGAAACAGTAAATCTTCTGCTATCCATTTATACCTTTACAGCCTGTTAAAGGCATGAATCAGTTTCCAAAACTAGTTCCTACTTTTGCTTATTTTGCACTAATTCTCATTCTTCTCCCCTCAGTCTAGATGGTATTCTTTCTGGCTGAAGCTGCTAGTGTTTTTATTCAGTACTGAGGTTAGAGTTTTTTATTATTATTTGCACTATGCGCTTTCAAAATCAACTTAAAATTCTAGTTTTTTCTTTGCGTTTCACTTGTCTCTGTAACTGCTCCATATTCACAGTCTGAGGTTCCTGCAGGTGTGTCTTTCCAGCTCTTTTGCCTTGCAGTGCCTTCAGCTTCTATGAGTGAGCTTTGAAAACTTTATGGTTTATGTTTATTTTAAGTATAAAGAGGCTGCTCTAACGCCTGAAGTTCATGTTTTAATAACAAATCCCATAGTTCTGCTTTCTCCTAAATCTCAGTCAACAAAAGGTTTCAATTCCTCTTCTGGGGTTGTCATCTTTCTCATTGCAGTGCCTGGTTCACAATCCATGCCTTCTTTCATCCCTTTTGGTTACAGCTGGTTTCCAGCTGATTTCTCAGCCCAATCCTGTCTGTGTTCCCCTCTCCTGGCTGTGTTCTCTGCTTCCCTCACTCTTTGCACAGTGATGCATGTTCTGCCTCCAGGTTTGGAGGGTGAAACCCACTTAGGTCTCCTGGCAGTGCTGTGAGACATAAAGGGGATTGATTTATACCTGCAGGTTTCACCCTTGCTGTTTAGTTTGTGTTTCTTACCTGGAAAGAAAGGGAGGGTTCTCTTCCTGTGTGGCTTAAATAGAAGTTTATGGAGACCCAGGAGCAACACCTACTTGGAGAACCAAAGCTGAGTTTTGCTCTCTTTGCTTCCTCATCTTGTTCTCTTTATTGCTGGGCTCCAGAATGCCTTTTCCTGGATCTAGCTTCTTTCTGGACAAGCCTTACAGCCCCTTGCACCATGGCATTGCATCTGGCTCTGGGGCTGCACTGGCTCTTCAGCAAACCAGTTATTTTCCAAAGTGGGAGCCAGTCTGCTTCTCTCCTGGCCCACCTGACTGCATCCAAGGATGTTATTTTAGAACCTTAAGTGTAAAGAATATCTGGAAATAGAATATCAATAATTGATTATATTAAAACAATGTTTTAGTTAATTCCATGTAACAGTCAACAGGACAAGTGAATGGGTGACTTCATTACAACAAGATGTTAAAAAAATGTAGTCCAGTTCCAGCCTTACTTATTAATGAACCAAGGA